CTGCTGAAATTGATACTAAGACATGTTTTGATCCACTGCCTTACTAGTGTTCCTGTTGGAGATTGATTCTTTTTCTTATTTTGTTCATCCATGCTAAATGTTGTTCTAGATGGCTTTTGGAGTGGTAGGACGCTTCCTGAAGTTCTCTCTATTCAATTTGCATGTTTATAGGGATGTACAGAAAGATTTGTATCTAGTCCTGAAGAAGTTTTGGATGTCATTGATGAAGGGAAAGCTAACCGTCATGTAGCTGTTACAAGTAAGTATTCTATGGGAGCTTTTCTGTCTGTAAAGCATTGGTTATAGTTGCTTCATAGTGGTGTGTTGATGACAAAGTAGGTAATGCACTTAAGTGGAAGATGTACTGATGCACAAATTTTAACACTCTAAAACGAACAGAACTGTGATTTTATTTATTTGGCAGCAGCTTCAGAGCATATAGAAACATATATTGGTAGCTTCAGCTTTGACAACTCCTGAATATACCATGTGCCACTAGATATAAATATATAACTATTGTTATATAGATACTGCAAAATTATGTATACCTAGTAATATATATGTGTACGTTCTTCTCTGTGCTGCAAGTCAAGAACTCTGAGGAGTTTATTGGTCAAAATATCAAGCAAAGATTGCCAAGGAATTAATTTTGTTCCAGAATGAGCTCCTATTCTTTACTATTATCATACTTTGCCTGTTTATCTCTTGTGACTTATCCCAGTGAGGCAGTGGCTTGGACTGAGTTCCAGTGATGGCAAAGCAAACAAATGTTTCTGACAAACTCAACGCAGGATTTTTATTTATTTAATGTTCTATGTTGCATACAGCCTAGCTAGCACTATAGTGATAAAAAAGGCAGGTATCTTTGGCCTGTTTCCCAGTTTATATTGCAAGATGCATTTGATCTAAGCTCAAATCTTGGCTTTTTCTTTTCTTTTTTGTTTTCCTTTTGTGATGCGCTTGGTAACTCCTTTCTCTTCCATGTCTCTACTTTTTTTTTCCTTTGAGAAATACTGTATTGTTTCTATTTTTCCTTCCTTTTCTTACTATATTAATAGAAACGCTATCTCTTTTTTTTTTTTTTCTTCTGAGTAATATCTGCTCCTGTGGTTTTTGCTGTTCTCTTCAACAAAAAGTATCCAAATCAACAAAAGTTGATCAGAGAATGCGCTTTACCAAGACTGAAATGGAGGAGCAGCAAGAAGCAAGTTTGGAAGTGTAATAGAAGAACTGAGTTTGGAGATAGAGAAGAAAAAGGGAGATGAGACTGTGCATGGGGGAAGATGGTAGTGGGGTTTATGGTAACTGAGAAAATGGAGGAAAAGGTGTTTTCCTGGTTCTTAATGCTTTTTCCTCTTTGCTACTTTATGAAACATCAAGCATAACATGGTTACAACTGAATTCAGAATTTTCGAAGTGGAACCTGAGATTGCAGCTGCCTATATTCTACCTGCTCTGTGGGTGAAGGAGAATTTTTAACCTACAGAAGCAATAAAAATCACTCTGAAATTCTAATTTCAAAAGTATGTTTTGGATGAAAACTTTTCCTAAAATTTGGGAAGGCTCTTTAAAGCATTGCCCATTTTTTTCCATTGCTTTATAACTCTTCAAATTCTCTTGCTCAACTCAAAAAAATTCAGTCTCAGTCCAGGATGCTGACCTTAATTGCTAATTGTAGGTCTGCACTTTACATAGCAGTGGTTGTATCATAGGTATGTTTTGTGTGTGCAGTATATCCTTATTAACAAGCACAGAAGGAGAGAACCTTTCTTTTTTCATTGTACCTATGAAATGGTATTTTATTATACTGGAGTCTATGATTTTCTGCCCCTGCTCCCCCTTTTGGTCAAATTCTGGTTTTCTGGTCAATTTTTTTTTTTCTTCAGAGGAAAAAAAATATATAAAGAAGGCTGTCATTTAGCCTGAATCTGGTTAAATTGCTTATATCAGGGAAATTTAAGAACTCGTTCCAATAGTGCATTGATATTACTTGCAGCTCTTGGTGCAGACTCTGCTCTTGGCACGTTGCGCTTCTAAGCGGACTCTTGTTTTTGAGTTTGTTAGTCATAGGCTTCTTATGATGAAATAAATTCTTGGCAGGCTTTAAAAACATTTTAACAAGACACTTGAAATGTGATTGCTCTCTAGATATGAATGAACACAGCTCAAGAAGCCACAGTATCTTCCTCATTAATATTAAACAAGAGAATGTGGAAACGGAGAAGAAACTCAGTGGAAAGCTTTACCTGGTAGACTTAGCTGGAAGTGAGAAGGTAATCTCTCTTTTTTCCTAAGCTGTGCTCAGAGATACTAATGGGATTCCTGCACTGAACATAGGAGTGTATGTGTCACTGTACAACTAAACTAAGTACAGTTACAAAAGCTTTAAAGAAGTCTTATCTTGAATGTTATCATTAGTATGCTAATATTTTTAAAGTGGGTTGGAGAAGAGGAACAGATCGGAACTGTTTGATGACATGAAATGCAAAACCAAGATCTGTAATATAATGAAGTAGGTTGAACCAGCATACTTTCATGTAGTTTAACATGTAGTTATGGGTACCGTAAAAAAATTATCAGCCCCAGTTTACTTGAAAATCTTGCAACTTTAACATAATTTGTCAACTTAGACCATTACTTTCATTTGTTCATGTTCAGACATATGCTGTTTCTAGGACTTCTATATTTATTTCATGTACGAGGTCGATGAAATAATAGCAGTTAATGTTCAGTTATTCAGCTGCAGTCTATTTGAAGCCTGTGAATGACTGTTAATTGTAGTGACTATTTCTGCTTTCCATTATGGAAAAATACTAACCAGAAAAGAACTTGTATGTATTTATCACAAAAGTAATGGTCTAGAACGCTATTGCAGTGGAAGAAATGTCATTGTTTCCCTGTTCTGTTTTTAACGTATTGTGGCGTGTTCAAAACTCATTCACTGTAAATAAAATAAAATTAAAAGCAGTCATTGAAGCTGGATCTTTGGTAACTACTATGCGTTTCAAAATGACTAAATTGTTCATAATGAAACGGCATAGATGTCTTCCATTGCGGTGGTAAATTTCTATATTTTTTTTCTGAAAATGAGAAGGTGAAATATTTTGTTTAATAAGCTCTGCACCTTTCAGAAGTGCTCATGGGGATGCAGTAGTTAAGTCAGTGGTAGAATGTGGAAGGCGTTCACCACAGTAATTAATCATATCAATTTTAAATATTAAATGTTAAATTAAAAACTGGTAGTGGTGTTTAGAAGATGAGTACTGAATCAGATTCTACTCCTCACTTAAACTTGCACTTTGGCAATCCATTATGTTGGCTTGAACATTCCAATGAAAACCTGAAATAAGGGTTTCTTTGGTGGATTGTCGTCTTAAAAGGTACAGTGAAGTTGCCTTTTATATCATGTGGCAATCTTGTTTAGAGGGAAGTGCAGTACTCTAGTTTCAGCCTAAAGAAAAATATATGGCTTTATGCTGCATTTCTGCATGAAGTCTCATGTCGTCGTTCCCCCCCTCCCCCCCCACCCCAAGTGGTCAAAGGGAATGGGAAGAGAGAGAAAAGGCTACAAATCTTCATTGCTATCTAAAGGAGTGCTCTTCGTAAGACAGGAAGCCTCTGGACTGGGCTGCCTTGGGGTCCAATTTTTGGACCAGCAAACCTTGCATTGAGAGTATGAGTGAGGTCATGCTTTTTCTCTCCTGACATTCTTGGTCTATGCAAACAAAATACAATGCCAAAATACTTGTTTGATGGCATATGTTGTGCCACTGAGCATGCCTTGAAGATATTTGCAGATGATATCATTTGCAAGTTCCCTGTCTGTTTGGATAGCCTGATCTTGAAAGTGGCTTCCAAGTGTCCTCACAAGAGAGCACAGACTTAGCTTTTTCCCCAGCAAAGTAAGAGCGTATGGGTGAACTTGCTCTGAAACTGGAAGAAAATCAGAAGTATTACAGGCTTCCACTAACAAAAAGGTGCATATAAAAAACAAAACAAAAAAACCCTCCCTCTTCATGTTGAGGTTAAGTTGGTTTTGTTTCTCTTCCAAGAGAGTTAAATGTTGCACTATCTCCGTTTGCATTGTAACTGTATTTGTACAGGCCCTTGCTGATAGCTGAGCCTGATTGTGATGTGCTCTCCTCTCTTTGGTAGGTCAGCAAAACTGGAGCAGAGGGTGCTGTTCTTGATGAAGCTAAAAATATCAATAAGTCTTTGTCTGCATTAGGCAATGTGATATCTGCCTTGGCGGAAGGAACTGTAAGTAATCCTGTTTTGTGCAATTTAAGAATGACTTTATCTGTTTCTTTACCATGCGCATAAGAAATAAGCTAACATTTCAGTTTAGGAAGAAGAAAGTGTTGGCTTTCCTACCATAAACCAGTGACACTTTTGCTACTCTACTAAATATAAAGAAACAAATTGTCAGTGATTTTGCTTGAGCGGGTATCCAGTGCAGTACATCTTAGCACAATCAAAGCAATTACACTTCAGAATTATATAGTTCAAAATCCGTTAAGTCTGTCACTGTAGACTAATAATGAGAGAACCTGATATCATTAATTTAAGAAGAATTATTCTTGTCTCTGACTTCTATTTTGATTAGAAAACCCATGTTCCATACCGAGACAGCAAAATGACCCGAATACTTCAGGATTCCCTTGGTGGAAACTGCAGAACCACCATTGTTATATGCTGTTCTCCATCTATTTTCAATGAAGCGGAAACAAAGTCTACTCTAATGTTTGGACAGCGGTGAGTCATAGTCATCATTAGGCTAGATAAGTTTTTTTTGCTCTTCCATATGCTCTGAAACAGTTGTATCTTCTCCTTGAATGCCATCTCAATGATTATGGTTACAAAAAAGCGTCTCTTCAGCTGTTCGTTAAGCACAACGTAGAATGTGAACTTAGCGTAATATTGACCACTGTGATAGATTACCATGATAGCTCACAGACGTTTCTGGTTTTAGGATCTTAACAATTTAGGAACAAATCCTCAGGAGCAAGTCAGGAAAATATAAATGTGGAAGTGTCAGAAAAACATTTCTCTTGTGTGTGTGTTCAGTGGCGATAGTCCTATGAAGTACATTTAAGAGGTTTGTAAAATAGGTCAGGTGAATTTAAATAATTACTGCCTTTGTTGTAGCTGAGAACTCTGATCCTTTGCAAAATAACTTTGTTTCATGCATGCACATTTGTAACAGCAGGAAAAAATACTAGTAACTTATGATTGGTTTTGAGATATAAAAACTTAAATTGTAATACATCAGATATGTCTGTGTCTGAAAATGGGTTAGGTTTTCTAATGTGCATAGTTTTTACATTGAAGCCCACACTGTTAAGGAGTATTTTATATTGGAAAGTAAAATCATGTATCAATTGGAAAATCCATTAGTAATTTTTTGCCCTATTTTAGTCTTAATATATGTCCTTGTCTTTTTTAAGTGAGGTAAGGTGATCTCTTCAGTGCATACGCATAACAGTACATAAAAACCCAGGGTGAGCAGTGACAGATAGATGCAGTTGGGTGCAGTCCCTCTTAATGGACAATTGTGTGGATTAGGGGTGATGCCAGAGGTTAAAGCTGGGAGACAATTCTGCAATGTTTTCCTCATCTGGCATTGCTAGAAACAGTATTAACTTGTCTTTGACGCCTGCTGGGATTTATGGAAGGCAGGGAAGGACCTGCATGCTGCAAGCCAGGTAGCTGTAAAAAGCATGAATTTCTCTGATCTCTGCTTGCTATAACGTTTCCTTACTACACTGTGAAACCATAAACTACTCCCTTAGAACACAAGCTTGCAGAGAAAAAACCCCGAAAGGGGACTTCACAGGTCTCTCCAGTAAGTTTTTGTGAGAAAGGACTGTAAAAGGAGGAAAAGATCACTAACATAAGCAGATTTAACACAATCAGATTAAGGGTTACTATGCTTTTTTAAATTCCCCTTTGTATAGTGAATATAAGATGAAGTTATTGAAGATGGAGGTTTTTACTGGAATCCCATGTACTATAATATGTCAAAGAAATTTTGAATAAATGCAAATATTAAGATGCAGTAATTATTAAATACAAAGTGTTACATAACACGACTTGTGTGTTTTTTGCTGATTATAACAGTTTCAGTGTTTTGATGGCTCACTTTTAAATCTTCACCCTTAAAATTTTCTGACTTCAGAGGATTTTGGTCAAGTGTAATGCTTATACCTCTATAAAACAAACAGCAGTTCCAGGGCTCCAGCTAACTAATTCCGGTTAAGGCTCCGGTGCAGTAAAGTAGCTGAAGAGGCATTTAATTTTAAATAGAAGAGTAGGTGGTGTGTTAGGTTTCAGGCTGCTTGGAGTTGTGCTGGGCTATCTCTGTGTCCGCAGGTATAGTTTGAAATAAAAATGTAAGCAATGAAACGTAGCCCTTCGGATTAAGGGGGTTGAAAGGTAATGTGGGTTGCTTTTTGGATTATTTTTGTTTTTGTTTTGTTGGGGAGGATATTTTTTATCTCTGGAATCACAAAGGGATTTGCTTCTGTATTGTTTGTTTTGTATTGTATAGTCACAGTGGGGACTTGTATGCATGTGTGTATGAAGTGTGTGTAGAGGAAGTCCAATTTTCACGTTACTTCGGTCTACGTTTCTTTTGGCTTCATTTCTCTTTTCAGTAATCAGTAAAACTTGCCTTTCTGTTTGGAAGGCAAATCAGTTTTGCAACTGACTCAGCACATCCTGACTGGCAGAGCTTTGACTGATGTGACATGACTAAGGAGAACAGCAGAGTGAATTATTTGCGATACATGCCCTCCATGAAACTAGAAACAATCAAGTAGCATGCTAAAAGTAGTTAACGCTTTTCTAAGAGGAGGAACGTTTTTATCCTTTCTCTTTATCTGTAAGATGTTCCCTATCGAGGGCCAGGATGCCAGCAGAAAGAATTTGGAAAATAGCTAAATACTTTGTGAGAGCGCTTGGTTGCAGTTTGTTGTTGGGTGTTTATTTGCTTGTGAGCTGTAGAACTGTACTGAAACAGGAGCTGCTCGTGGAAAGCATTTAATTGTAAGGAATGAAATGTCCGTGAGGCCTTCTGCTGTACTAGGCCTGCAGAGCAGCCCACAACCTATCCATACATGATGTTGTTTGTGAGCGTTTTGAATAGGAGTATTGTCTATGGGAAATAGTTTCTTTTATAGGCTCTTTACTTGTGACGTTTTAGTTTTCTAATGTGACTGTCTGTATTAAGGGCTTGAATAACGTATTAATAACGTTAATTTGGAGCTTATATAGCTCATGTATGATTACTGATTTCTCTTACTTTTTTTTAATTCTTCTAAAGTAATAAAACTCCTGCTTGTCACATAGTGCGAATCCCTGGAGCAGAATTTGGAGTATGAAGCACAGATAGGGCACAGTTTTCCTCTCGACATAAGAGCTTCAGGATTTTTAGTAACTGGTCACACTTAAAGGATGTGTTAGAATCGTTAAGTGGAGCCAGGAAGAAAACAGCTTAAGATCATCTGCTCTCCCCAAAGAACGGTTAACCAGTGTTTCTGCAGCTGATTCCTAAGGGTAGTTTCTTGTACAGGCATTTCGGCCTGTACTTTACAAACCGGTAGTAGATTTGTTTGTTATTCCACTGCTTAGTCTGTTTTATTTGATAACATTGGATTCATTTGGAGGGGCTCGGTGATTCAGCAGCAAAGAGCAAAGATTCAAAGCTTTCTTAATTCATACTGACTCGCTTGTTTTTTCTTTTCATATGTGGATTTATATGTGTGTAGACGCGATTCCATTCTTTTTCTGCTTGCTTTGCGTTTTGTGATGCAGTCATTTAGGTTCTGTTGGAAGTAAGCAGTTTCAGAATAAGAAAGTGGTGGTCGTTACCACTAGAAGGGTTTAAATTTTGTGGTTTTGCCTGGAGATGCAGCAACTAGTGAATGTGCATACAGTGGTAGAGATGTGAGTCCAAGCTTTCTCTTTGCTGACAGTCCCTCTCAGCCAAGTATGAGAGGGTATGTGATGGGAAGAGTGACAAAGGACCAGCTGCAAGGCTCGCAGCAGCATCCCTAACTGGCTGTAGATGCTTGTTTGTTTTTAACCCTGTTAGCACTGTGGGTTTCCTAAAGTAGGGACTGATTCTATTGTGATATTATGTTTATAATCAAGCTGATTTTTACTAAAGCACTTGGGAACTTTAGATGCTGAGTAGCAGCACTTTAAATGTTATAGTATTGCTGATGAGGCCCTAAAAACGGAGGATTTAGAATGGAAAGGGAGATGTGTAAGGGAAAGCATTCATCATGCACTTGCACTGGCAATTTTTAGTCATTTTTTTTGAAAGCATTGAGATACAAAGGAAGAATTTTAGTTGCGATGCAAAGTCTTTGTTCCTTGTGTACGTTTGTTTAATTTTAGTTTCCGTAGACTTTTCTCTTGAGACATTGTTCTTGGCATCCAAACCACAGTGCCATTTCCTTCATTTACATTCTGACGTGTTTAAATTTCCCCTGAAAACTTACCTGGACACCATATTTTTAGGCTATAACGTACAGTAAAACTTTTTATCATCAAAAGTAGCCTGCAAGCTTGAAATGGAAATGTGTTACTGCCAGTACAGCCCCCCTTACTTAGGGAAGAAAGAGCAAGAACAGATGAAGGGAGGATTCCCAAACCCCCAAGATATGACGGTTCTCTAACTTTGTAGGGAATGAAGGTAAGAGGTCTCTGTCTGCCATGAATTTCCTAGTCAGAGCAACAATGTAATTTATGAGTTGGATTACGCACACGCATTTTGGATTAAGTTTACATTTCACTTTTAAGCAGCTATAAATGTTGGTGATGAGTAAAGCAGGACACACAAAATGTGTGCTTGAACATAGTACACGGAGAACCTCTAGATGCGTGCTGAGGCCTTGAATTTTTCTGGCTTGTAAACTGTGGAAGGCTCCTGCCTCTGTTCTAGCCTGCCTTTTTTCTGCACCAGTCTCCTGTGGCTGTCTGTTATGTCCTCTACTGCTCTGTTTCCTCTAGTATTTTCATTCCCTTCCCTGCATACTGCAGAGTAATGCTTTCTTGCATCTCCAAGATAGACCTTTGGCTGCCAGCCGCAGAGGTATGGCAGGGTCCCAGCGTCCCTTATGGAATATCCTCTTAGGTCTTGAAGGTCTCTAATGGGATGGGAGAGAAGGATCAAACGTTTCCTGACACAAGTCAGACATGAGGGATTTCAGAACTGACCTTTAACTTCCCCCTACCATGTAGGAGGTCTCTAACCACTCCCAAGGGCACAGGCTGGAATTTGAAGTTGCTGTCTCATTGCTGGGTGGTGAAGGTAGTATCTAAGCCTTCCAGCAGTGTATAACTGGTCTCCTTGCAGAACTGAGACTTATTCTGAAAATGCTTTAAGACAAGGAGTCTAACACTGCAGAACATACAAATGCAGACCGCTTCCTACTTGTTTTGCCTAGACTCCCAGATGTCCTTGTACAAGCTAGGTTAGATGTGAAACCTGTACAGTCACACCAAATGGTTTTCCTCTTTTGCCTTTCCCTCCACCTTCAAAAATGTATTTGAAAATGATGTTTGGCATTCAGAAAGGATAAATTTCCATCTCTCTGCTTCACTCTGTTGGCATCCTTCATGCTGTAATGTTTGAAACACAGCTAAGACTCGTTGATAGAATTTAAGGGATGGTTGTAATGGGGTTAGCCTGTGGCCAGACACTTGTGTGGGGTAGCATGCTGTGGGTCCCAGGCCGGGGGAAGCTGAAAGAGGTGACAGGTTATTTAGTAGAAAAATTATGACAGGAATTGTTCTTGTCCTTAATCTAAGGGCTGTTTCCAGAGCTGCTGCTCTGCCAAGAAATCTCAAAAAGCAGAGCGATTCCTGACTGGTGACTGACTGCTGGATTTAGGTATAGAAAGAGTTCTTTAGGCCTCAAGGAAGGCCTAAACATTACTGAAGTTTTGAGAGAGAACTGAATTGTGGCATTCCACGTTAGAAAATAAATTGCAGACTTTCAGTGGTTTAGCTTACAGAAAAATTTCTGAATCTTTACTGTTGCTTTGCAACTCTTATCTCAGTACAACTGATAGCTTTTATTTTTGTTACACAGAGCTAAGACTATTAAGAACACAGTCTCTGTGAATCTGGAGCTGACAGCAGAAGAATGGAAGAAAAAGTATGAGAAAGAAAAAGACAAAAACAAGAGTCTAAAGAATGTTATTCAGCATCTAGAGTTGGAACTGAACAGGTGGAGAAATGGTAGGTACTGTAAAATGCGAAGGGTATGTTTCTTCATAGTTTTAAGTTACGTTATGTTTAAATCTTGCCTTAAATCACAAAAATAATACTAATTCTAAACTCACTGGTTAGAATTGTAGTTCATTCTTTTATATTTGTGAGATAGGTTAAGCAGAAGGCATTCCCCTGCCTGTAAGAGATTATCCAGACAAGATACTTTATTGCAAAACCGCACAGTAACCACATGGGTAGTAGGTTTGTATTAGTGACTTTTTTGATGTGATAATCTTTGCATACCTAGTCACAAATAACGTTGGACAGTTAAGTCCGGTTTTGAACATGAGGGGTGAAATCTCTACTGTGCATACTTAAGAGGTAACACCTAACCTTTATTAGAGCAAAAAATTATTTCCTTCTTTCAGCTAACACTGCCTGCGTTGGTTTACTTGCCTTTCATATTAGGTAGTCACCTAGTGATTGCGTTCTGTGCCTTTCTCTGGAGACTTGGACCACTTCAGCACAGGGAATATCTCTCTTTCAGCGTAGTAAAATTGCTATGGAAACAGTCTGTCTGTTGTTGGTTTTGTGGAGTGCTGGGAATTTGTAATCCTCTGATGTTCTGTATGTGTCATTGTGTTTACTAAATGTGGCTTCTTTAATTTCCTTCCCATTCTAGGAACGTAGTTGTGTTATTTTTCTGTTTATTTTTCTTTTTTAAAAAAGATGATGCAGATCCCTGGCTATATGCTGTGCAAACAACCCTTGTTACATGCTGTCTCTATTGTTTTGTCTAAATATACATACCTCCTTTTTCTCTCCCTCTATCCTGTTCTCCTCATTGGCGTTGCCAAGCATTACATTAAATGCATTCAAAATGCTATTGATTTCTTTTCTGACCTTCTGAAATGGCATTATCTGGGATAAGAGTACCGCTCTTTCCAAATGAAACTGTAGCAGAAATTATATCTAGAAAATAATATGCAAAGTAGATGCATAAATATTCTATAAGTATAGTTTATTCTATAAAATCAGAAAATAAACTACAAGATGAAATTGTAGTAGAAACTAGTTGAGCCTAGTACTCATTGAAGTAGGAGTTCAGCAGACTTGTATTGAAGTGCAAAAGTTAGCCCAAGTTAGCCTGTATTTTACAGTTAGGGTATTGTTGTCCAAGTGTTTGCATCAAACGTAGGCTCTCTGCCTCCCTTCATGTGTGGCAATCGGAAATAGAAAGCCTCCGTGTTAAGCAAAATACACCAATGAAATGAAAACCTTAAGATTCTTCTTTGGAGGCTCCCGAAACGTTCTCCACCATCTGAGGAGCACTGACATGTATGCAAGTTCCCAGAATCTGTGCGAGTCCACCTTTCTTACGCTGCTTGAGTGAAGTGCAGCAATGAGAAATCAACTTACGTTTTTCTCATTAATAATCTAAAACGATATTAAGCCCCTAGCAACAGGGCAAAGAGTATTTTGAATGTAATATTTTTATAGGGGTTATGGTTCTTGATTTGAAGTTACTGTTTTCGTGCTTCAAGATTGAAAAAACTACCTTCTTAGTTGGCCGATCATGCTCTTTCATGCCCTGCTTTGTTTTGTTTTCTTTTGCTTTCAGGCCTGAATTAATCTACCTTTTTTTTAATTTTGATATTTGCCTTATTTACTTGTTTTCCCGCTAGTATGATAAATAGCGCCCATGCAGTTTTGGCAAGAGGAATGGCTAGTTAAGACAAAAATATGATAGCTTTCCACAGAAACAGGGATATGTGTGTGTGTTTGGAAGGGGGGGGGGGTTCTTCTGCAGACAGGAAGAACATAACCTTCCCGCACCTTGAATAATATAGATAGCATTAAGCAGCTTACAGAGTCTCTCGGCAGACTCTAATGAACGTAGATTCAATTTCTGGCATGAGCAGCTTGCCTGTCCCTCTTCACTGAACTGCAACAGACTAGTAATTGGAATGCACTTAAGTTACTGAAGAAAGTATTCCTCAGAGAAAATCATTGTGAAAGAAAATATGTAGGGATAACATCCTATCTGGTATGCATAGGCAACATCTGAAAATTGATCGATGCCATTTAATTTTAGATGTGACAAGGTAGAACGTGAGTATTGTTTTAAATGCATCTGTCTGCTTGTTGTCCTGATCCTTTTTAGCAACTCAGTATGGGGGAGGGAGAGTTGATAAGGAAGTCTATCTACAGTCTGGAGAAGAAGAGACGTTTAATTGCATGTAGGATTTAGGCTGAAAGTCTCTTTCCTCCCCCCCCCCTTTTTTTTTCCATCCTTATTTACACTTATGTTAATCCATAGAGCTAATCCCATCTATAAAATGCTTGAGTGAAAGGGGAGGAGTCAGGAGTTCAGTCCTCTTGATATCAGTCATTTGAACTGTTGCCACATTTTCTTGTTTTGTTTTGTTTTGTTTTTTCCCCTGACTGTAGGGGTTGAACGGCCATCTTTCTGTACCTAACTTTGTCACCTTTATTTATGGCAGTTGCCTGTCTTGTACCTGATAGTGGGCCTGTAGCTGGATCACAGTGTCAAAACAGACATTCCTTCTTTGCTTTTCTGAGCACCTCTCAGCCGTAGCCAAGGTCTGTCCTGGGATGTCCATGTTTCAGGCTGCTCTATCTCTTGAATTGTAATGACCATGGATTGTATGCCTGTAGGAGAAGCTGTGCCTGAAGATGAACAGATCAGTGCGAAGGATCAGAAGAACCTGGAGCCCTGTGATAACACCCCAATTATTGACAACATCACACCAGTTGTTGCCAGCATCTCAGCAGAGGAGAAACAGAAATATGATGAAGAGATTGCCAGTCTCTACAGACAGCTGGATGATAAGGTGTGAACAGCTTGTTTTGACTCCATTTGTTGTGTGTAAATGGAAACCTAAGCCTGAATGGGTGGATGTCTCTCTTATTTTGTTATTAGAATTGTGTTATATATTTGGTTATATATTTGAGCTGTTCTTCCTTCTCCTGTCAGCTGCAAGAGAGGCATCGTCCATGAGGGATTTATGAAAGCTCAAGCAGGTTATTTAGACAGTGATGTGGTTTTTCCCATGTTTATCCTCCTGGTCTGCCAGAGACTGATGTTCCTGCTGCACAGGCAGCAGAGAATGGGATGTGCATCTTGATCTGAAATGAAATGGCTGAAGTTCAGATCCCGTTTCGCCCTCTTCTGCCTCTCAGAGGATTGTTGAACCCTATCAGAGAGACCAAACAGACAGCTGGTAGCAGCAGTACCTTAAACGAATGCAGTGTAGTTGTGCCTCTATTCTTGAAAAGTGGTCTCCTCTGATATCTAAACTTTACGTTTCCTATATAGCTGTAAGGAATGTTCTGAAAATGTTTTATTGGAGAGAAGTTTCCAGTTTCTAACCGCTTGTATATGTTTTTTTGCCTGAGAACCTTGTACTTTAATCTTGTAACAGCTTCATACCATAGAGTATAGGGTGCTTTACTCACAAGGCTTGTATGGTAGTCACAGATTTTGGGGCACCGTATCCTTTGAGCCCCAGGAACTGGGAAATGCCCCAACATTCAAAACACTACCACTTCATAAAGATGGATGTTGTCCTTTCACATCAGCTATCTGTTTCCGTTCCCTCTGCAGATACAGTTTGTTAGCGTTCTCCCGAAAATCAGTGACAAGTTCCACCTTAACTTTAAGGGCCTGATACAGGCTTTTAAAGCCTCCTTTTCTTAAGTGATTTTTGTAAATACCGTACCTCCATAGCAAACTGTCATGTTATCTCAGAGTTATAGTCTCCCTCCCCCCCCTCCCCATCTTAATATTTGTTGTATCTCAGAATTTTAAAGCAAAAATATAAACCATCTTTTGAGTCTCTTCTGTTCATCCTGTTCTAGCTGCAAGCACTATCTGGAACCCAGGTGTCGTAGACCCAAGTAGGCTTTTTTGATTAGTACAGCTTGAAATATATCATTGGCACTTAAAGAAAAGCTGTCATTAATAGATTTACTGAGTGCTTGTCCTTAATAGTTTTGGCTTGTGTGAAGGTAAGATGTGGCAAAAAGACTTATGCAAAAACATTAACTATTAACTTATGGATGAGAACAGCTTAAAAGGCCATCTAGCAAAAGTTTTCAGAATAGCTTTAATCTTAAAATTAAACCTTTTTATTTATTTTTTTACTCTCAATTGTAATTTGCAGGAACATATCAGATAAAGCCTACTATTCTTGTATGATAATGGCTGAAGTTACTTAATAGCAGGGGGTATGCGATGGATAGTTGTGATAAGTCATCGTTCTGATGCGTTGTAACGTGAGACCTCTGCACAGTCTGATTGCAAATGCAGAAAGCAGAATCTTTATCTCAGTATGTTGGCGGCATTCAAAATAACAGTCGAGCTCTTTAAGAAAATTACAGCTTTTCCCTAATGGAGAATATGTTTCTTGTAGCTCACTATACCTTTTAGATATCTATTTAAATAAAAAAGGTCAGTTATTCTTTCACTTGCCCTGTCAAAAGTAGCAAAGCCTATGTTGTTCTTGGAGGAACTAGCAGCAGAATTGAGTTTTAACCAAGAAAATGCAGGAACCATAATTTCCTACATTACTGCAGTATTATAGGAAATGAGAAGGTGTTTGATCTCCATGATACACAAGATTTCTACATGTATAACTTCCTATAGTGAGGACCACTCTTCTGTTCTACTTGGCGTTATTTTATTATTTGCAAGCACTTCAATATATTCTACTCGACAGCTAGCTTTGCTATCAGAAATCAAGCTATTAGATGCTTGCCAGTGAAACAAAATGTCAGTTGGCCCTGATAGGATAGGATACGAAAGCAACCACTTAACTTCTGTGAGGGTGGTGTGTTTTTTGTTTTTTGTTTTTGAGAGGAGTAGCTTTCACAAGAGCAGAGGAGATTGACTTTGTCAGTTGCTGTGCTTGGTATGCCCCCTGTGCCTTCTTGGAGGACGGGTTCCTACAATGGAGTACATCATTTCACTTCTATAGTTAGGAACAGCTCTTAACCCTGAGGACGTTGTCTTAACTGAGAAGGTGAAATGACAATAAAATTGGATTCCTGGATAAGTATTACCAGGCCATATTTCCGTCAAGATCTTTGACAGAGGAGGAAAGGTATAAATTTAACAGTTGAGGTGCCCAAGTTTTATGTTTGGGTTTCAGGTTCCTCTTTCATTAATGCCGTTCAGAGCTGGTCATGGTTTTTTAATTGGTAAATTGGTCTGTAATAGTCTGTCTTCTGCTGAAATTAGAGCACAGAGTGTGTGTGTGTGTGTGTGTTTGAAAACATACATAATTACTGTTATACATGAATTATATTTTTGAAGTTAAGCAACTATAGTGAAGCAGTGGACAGATCATTCCCTGTGAAAGTAATTTCACTCTTTTGCTACTGTTATTAAGATTTTGGAACTCAAATATGAAAAGGGAAGCACTAGATGTATACATGTGTTGGAAAAGTCACCTGTCCTTTTGCAAGTTATAAGGTGCAGTTATCACTTCAGTGTCTTATTTGCTGGCTGGGGCACATCTGCTTAGCTATACACTGCAGATAACTGGTCATGTATGTGTTGCTTTTACTATGTAGCTGTGTGCCTGGACAAGTTGTGCTGTGGCATTATACTTGCTCCCTTTCCTGGAAAGGGGAAGTAAAAGCATCAAACCAGAACTATGAAAAGAAACTAAAAAACATCCTACTTTATTTTATTGCAGGATGATGAAATCAACCAGCAGAGCCAGTTGGCTGAAAAACTGAAACAACAAATGCTGGATCAAGAAGAGGTAAAAATGAAATCTGCATTTTGCTTTTGGGACTCTTGTTTAGTGATTAAGTAATAGCTGTTGGTTAGCTATGGTCATATTAACTGGCTAAATCTCAGTTACTAAGAGCAACTTGTGTGACAGGTTTAAATTCAAGATTTAATATGATCCTCTCAAGAGCCCTAAGCCTTGATAACTGCTTACAGTAGCACACCAGCCTGCTGAGAAGTAAAGCTGGAAATGAGAAACCAAGGTAGGAGTTTGGCCATTGTTTTTCAGGAAAACAAATGTTTTTCAGTCTGCCTGTATCCTCTCAGGTACCTAGCTGCTATGGATCTGTACTACTAGTACTAGTTAATAGGCTTCCTAGTTTGAAAGTATGAAAATCACTGTTGATAAGAAGCTACCAATGTCTACTATTTTGTTATGGGCAATTAGAGACAATATTATCAAAAGAAACTTGTGAGACTGAAAAATCACTTATTGGTGCTGCCACAGATTTGCTCTAAAATCTTGGATTACTCAGTTTAATTATTTTATTTTACTGCTTCTATCCATAAAAGGGATGTTTATGCTTTTTTTTTTTTTTAAGGTGGGGAAAATGATTATTTAACTTGCAGATAAGACTTGGCTATCACTTGTTTATGAAGGCTTTGAAGCTGCAAAATATGGCAGAAATGCTAAATTACTGAGTTCCCCAAATGTTGCTGTGGTATTTCTTAGAATATGAGTTTATGTTGTTTTTTAATCTTGGGGGGGAAACCAGAGGAAGAAAGTTCAGACCAAAAATATAATCCTGGTGTGGGAGTTTACTTTTCATTAGCGTTCCAGAATGCTGGTTTCTTTTGCATGAAAAACTGATTCTGTAGACGAATACCCGTCCCAGCTGCCCAGGCCCCTAGGACTGGAGTAGGACGTTTTACTCACTTGTGTTCTTTTTATGTGCATGTCTGTGTGTGTAAAAACCACTGTTGTGGTTGAAACACTACTCCGAAAACGATTCAGGGTCTCCTTCTCACTGAAGGAAATACCAGTTTTATTTTACTCCTTGGTTAAGCTCTCATTCCCTTACAGTAAAGTTCTCCTGCTTACTCTGTATTACATGTTAGCATTTTCAGGCCCGTTGGTATACAAATGTATCATAGCTCTGTAACGTACAAATGTGACATTGTGTTCTCAGCAGTGTTGATTTTCAGACGTGTTATTTAGGCTATCTCACTTCTGGCATCTCTTTTGTAATGGTCTTCTGATCCAAACCTTACTTTTTTCCTTCACTTTTTTTTTTATTGTGTCTTATTCTTTTGGACTATCTGTGGGTGGTTTTTGTTTGGTCGTCTTTGGGAGGGTGGAGGGGATATTTGATTTTAATCGTATTTGGGAACATCCTGTACGCTAGCTTACTGCCCGTCTCCGTGGTGTTCCAGGCTCCGTGTACTTCTGGCAGAAGAGGCAGTTCTCAGCGGCCCCTACTCCTGGCCTTACCGAGCGCTCTTTCCCCTTTTTTGCGTGTGCTCTAGCCTTGCTCTCTGATTGAACGCTCTCAGAAACTAGTGCTTTGTTGCTTGCTCAGAAGCTTTACTGGTTCATCTGATAAGGTTGTCTTATCTGTTACCTCTGAAAGCTAATGCAGTATTCCAATTTTTCCCTTTATGGGAATTGAATTAAAGTTTTCAAGGCTTTGTCTCATGTGTGTAAACACCAGCCCTAAAGGAAGGATCTCTTCTCTGTTAGAGCTTGTGATTACCTCCGTGATACATGTGCTGCAGAGCAGCTGCCTCACTCTGCCTCCCCCTAATTAGCCAGAGTACTTTTTTTCTGGTTGATTAAACTAGCAGATTAACTGTAAAGACAAGGCCTGTCACAGATGGCATCGTACTGATATTAGTGTCTTTTGATACGTTTTCACCACTGGTGTTTCTTAGCCTGTGTGTTTCAGGGGAAAGTCTGAATCTTCCACCCTGGCTTCTTGCGTGTGAGCCCTCCATAGCGAGCAGACGCGTGAGGTGCTGCGGCTGGCGTCCGCCTCCTTCCGGTGCGCTGGGAGGCTCCAGGGACTTGCCGCACTGCTCAAAGCACGTGTGCTTGTTCAAGCACTTGTTTTCTAATGAGATCCAGTTCTCCCTTTGGTTCTTGCGGACGCACCCGCTTCTCAAAAGCGGGGAGCAGGGAGACCAGAACGTGGGGAAGCTACCCAGAAACAGCTCTGCGGTGTTCGGGGTGGAGAGGTCCTGCCCTTCCCCACCCCCAAACCAACCATCAGCATTAGGTATAATTTCTTTGTTTATGATGATCAGTATAATACTATGAATAGCCTCTTTAAATCTTGGTATATTTTCCAACATTATGTCAACAAGAATCTTCTGGGGAGATGTTTGTGCTCTAGGTGGTATATAAGACTTCCTTTTACTTGAAGTAGTAGTCACACGGAAATTTTCCTGAGTAAATGTAAATAATAGTTCCATCTGTGTTTAGTAGAGAGATTATTTTAAGCTATTTTGATGTTTAAATATTTATGTGCCATCTGGTTTTGGCAATTTAGTACGGTTGGGTTTTATTTATTTATTTATTTATTTATTTTAACTTGAGTGCACTTCTGAGGCTGCAGTATTACCAGCTAGATAAATTTCCCTCACATCTGAATCTTCTCTTCGCTGCTTTGGGAATGTGCCAGTGTTCACAAGCTAGCTTGTTTGCTTCCTTTTTGTCATTAGCATTCTGAGCCTAAAAAGGAGCATCTTCTCCGACAATCTCCTTTTATGTGATCAGCTTTAGGTGTTTCTGGTGGGCTTGGGATCTCGTGCACAACTTCTTCAAGGCCTGGGGAGGAAGAGTTAGCGAGCAGTGAGAGGTCAGCTCAGGAAGATTCCACCCACCTGATCGGGGTTTTCATTTTGTTCCTACCTGAAGAAAAGCCCGTCTGTCAATTCAGGCTTTAATTGTTAGTGCTCTGCTCCTTTGGTGATTAGTGTTCTTCTGGCTAGTTCAGCACACATCAGTAAGGCTGATTTTTGTTCTACTGTCTGGGGAGGCTACAGTACGGGAATATGCTGCTTCATATGTTGGAAGGCTTTGGAAATAAGTGAGTTCTCTGAATGAACATCCAAACTTTCCTTTTAGGGATTCAGGCTCAAGGGTAATCCTTCTTTTATCTCATGCATGCAGTGACTGGGTTTTATATGTTACATTACTATCAAAACATGAATTATAAAGCAGTACGTCCTGATTTTGTAATTATTTCTGTAAGTATAATAGTATATAATAAATGTTAGGTAGTACTTTTTATTTATTTTGTTATTATTCACTGGTGTCGACTGCTGTTGAGTCTGTTTTCCTGTTAAGAACTTATTTGAATTCTCAAGACTTTTTTTTTTTTAATGTCTTTTATGAAGACGGAATGGCATGAGGGCAAAGGAGAGCACCAAGCAACTGACCTCTTACAATCTGCACTGTCATTGAGATTTGAGCATCTCTCTTACTAGCATGCAGAGTAAATTTAATAACTCTTACAAACTGGAAACAGTCAACAGTGTGTGTGCAGTCTACATTTTCTTTTTTAGTTTATAATTTGCTTCAGCAAATACGAGCAGCCACTCTGTCTGAAGCACCGTGTTTCAGATGATAACTTCAAACAATCATCATAGGTTTGTTTATCATAATATTCCTATAATGCCACAAGACATTTGAGACTACCTCAGAGAGCCTTTTTTACTGGCTCATATCAAAGCTGTGATTCTGAGTTTTATTTTGTTTTTTTTTTTATCCTAGCTGCAACATTGGGTTGAGGGCAGAAAATTTATTTGGAGCTTATGATCCTTCCTAAAATAAGCTTCTCTGTCTTCCTTGTGTCATAACAGGCTTTGATTAAAACTTTTATTTTCACTGAAGTTCAGAGCCTTTTTTGCTTGCTTCAAGCCCACTTGTGCTGAGACTGATACTGTTTCTGGTACAGCAGCAGGATTTCTTCTCTCTTTCTCTTGCACACATTTACTCACTTGTGTTCTCTCTCATAATCTATTTCTTGCCCTTTTTAAAGTTGTAAGTGTTTTGAATGAATACTTGGAAGACTCATGCACCTCTGTTGTTTGGCATTTGTTTCCAGCTTTTGGCCTCCACTAGGAGAGATTATGAGAAGATTCAAGAGGAGCTGACCCGTCTTCAGATTGAGAATGAAGCTGCGAAAGATGAGGTGAAGGAGGTCCTTCAAGCCCTCGAAGAATTAGCTGTCAATTATGACCAGAAATCCCAAGAAGTGGAGGACAAGACAAGAGCCAACGAGCAGCTGGCTGATGAGCTGGCACAGAAGAGTGTAAGAACAAGCAGTTTATAGTGCTGATTCCCTTCTCTCCACCCTCACTGTGTACTTCTTTTAAAGATTTCCTTAGGCTAGCAGTTATATAGGAAATTATATACCGTTTCAGGAACCTCTTATATACTGCTGCCAAGTATGTTGTTATGTAGTTTGAAAATTGGAGTAACAGGGAAGCTCTGAAAAGATCCATATTTGCTGATGGTACCCTCTATCTTAATTAAAGGAAAAAATTAAGACTACCTCTGTGATAGCTGATGGCAGATTTTGGCTCTGTTGCAGCATCTATTTTGTACATCAAGTCAGCTGCTGAACTGAATGTGAAAGATGACCATTCTGTATTTGATCACTTAAAAACTGTATAATGCCAGGAAAGATGTGAAAACTTGCTTTATGCAAATTGCATAATTTTGTGTTTCTCTGGACACTGTGCTGTGGAACAGGGATTCTAAGTAGAGTTGGGGATTCTCAAGGAAGAAATCAATAAAATTCAAATTTTTTTTCAGATGAAGTGTCAATCTGAAGGAAGAAATCTGATCTGAGAAAAATCTTTGTTCCTTAGTTCTATACACAAACTAAGTGTGTATAGATCTTAGATCTGTTTTCATGCACATCTAGCATATAGGACTCTGTTATCCACTTCAGTAGAACAGATTACTATGAAATCCCTTTTTAAAAAAAAAAATTATATCCTTCTATACCTGTTTCTCTTTGATTAACCTTATTTGACATGTATTATGCAAATAAGGTTCTTATAGGATTTACTGCATTTAATAGATTCAAAGTAGCCTTGTTAGCTGGTGAGTTGCAAAAGTGGATTATGGCAAGGTGGAGCTGTATGCTGCTGGAGTAAGTGTGGGAACGTTGAGCCAGTTAGGCATGTTCAGGAAAATAAAAGACAATAGTGTGTAACCTAGATATCGCAGAAGACTTGATGTCCAAAAGTGGTGCTATTGAACTTCTGTGAAGCATGGAGAAATTAAGTATAGAACCAGAACTAACTCACAGCTACATCTTTCTTTTCTTTAAGAAAAGATACTCTAGACAGTGAGTTGTTTGGCAGATTTATTCTGTCCAGAGAGGAAACTGTTTTGTTTAATGAGTTGCTGTGTGAATAAAGACCATCTGAGGAGAGGACGGTAACTTTTGCTTTTAAACCTTTTCAGACTACTCTGACAGCTACCCAAAGGGAGCTGGGCCAGTTGCAGGAACTCAGTAACCATCAGAAGAAAAGAGCTACAGAGATTTTAAACTTGCTGCTTAAAGACCTGGGAGAGATTGGAGGAATCATTGGTACTAATGATGTTAAAACAGTAAGTTGGCTATCTTTTATCACTCCCTCCCCCCCTCCCCCCACACCTCCCACAATATCTTTAAAACAAAAAAACAAAACCAAAAACCCTCCCCCACACAAGCAAGCCAACAAAAAAACCTTACTGTGGGAGATGTGTGATACAAAAGTCCTTTTGCCAGGACACTGCTATTTAAATCCTAGTTAGAGTACAGTGTAAGATACTGAAGAGGTCTTTGGGTCAGAGATGGTCAGTGTCTGTGTGCACAAACGCCGCTCTCGTTCGCAGCTTGGTTTTTGGGGCCAGACTAATACAGCCCATCTGTGTAGTGATGCATTTATTAAACTCTGCTTGCCAAGACCTGGACTAGGATTCCCCACAAACAATATGCACGCAGCATTACTCCCTAGTTAGTTGGCCCGACCCTCTATTCCCAGATCTTTATCAGTGAGATTTGGCTTACGGGCTGCTAAACCATTGTTTGAAAAGTGCCATGTAGCTGAACATGGAGTAGCCTTAAAGCCGGAGTTCTTTGCTGACAGCTCCCTGGTATACCTGGAGGAAACCATCTGCATGAAATCTGTTTTCTGCACTTTGTTGTTTCTTACCTTTTGAACAACGTTTGGCTTCATCAGAGAGCCCAGACTTTTTCTGAGCGTAATACCTCATGTGTTTCCAAACACAAGATACTTAAAACTATTGCTTTTCAGTATTGGTAAATTTGTTGTAAATACACTACTGTATTAGTACAGTAAATACATTACTTATACTATATTTAAATAAATTTAAATATTTATGTGCTAGAGCAAGCTCAACTTTTGTATGTTAGCTCTTAGAGGAAAAATATTCCAGAGGATCACTTTCTTCTGAAGAAAAAAGGCAAGAATGGGAGTGAATATTGCTCAAACAGTGGAAGGCCTGGTATCTGAACGTGTCTGACGATGATGGTGCAAATTTTGACCAGCTTTGCTTTGAAATTTGCTTTCTGTCTGACTCCTAGGTTTACAAATACGGTATAGGAGGCAGCTGCTCACTTTATCACACTTATGTTCTAGATGAACACAATTCTGATCCTCAGAAAGGTCCTTATGCAGCCATTGCTAAATGGCACACTGTGAAATAAACTTTTCACGGCCTGGAAAGTTTCTTATGCTATTAATGTCGTCATCTCTGTCCATTCAAAACCCTGTATAAAAGAGCAGTTGTTAAAACTGGATGAGAAACGTATTCTCAAGAAGTATGCAAGTTATTTACAAAGTACTCTTATTTTCTTACCTTTAGTTCATTTTTCAGTTTTTTGAGCTAGCATCTTTTCTGAATTCTTGCTTCATACTTCACAAAAGTAAAAGCAAATATATGCAGCTGGAGTGCTTTGGGTTGATTCTGGGAGTTGTTGATCTTCTGCTAAAGCCCCATTAGATCTGCAGAGGCTCCAGTCCTCTGTTAATACAGAGGACACAATTCCTGTTCTCTGATATGTTTATGGAGATTCCAGGACCACAAGAACAAATTTTGCTAGATGTTACAGCAACCCCTGGTGGCCATTTTAATCGGAAGGCTAAGAGGAAATCTTTGCAAATGGAGGCTGTTTGATACAAATTCTTACAGTAAGCAAGATGTCAGCATTTTACAGGACAGATGTCAGAGTAAATGGAGCAAGATTGAAAAGGCTTTAGTAGAATAGATCTGAATTTGTTGGCAATTAGCAGTTTTTCAAAGTGTGTTTATTGGATTGAGGGTTTTGGAGGCAGTAGCGTTTTTTTAGGCTGTAGGGGAAACATAACGGAGCACAGTACCTTCTCCCTGGCTCTGCTGGAAAAAAGGGTGCAGGCACATGAAATACATTATTACTCATATGCTTGTTCTAGGAAAATCATCATGTCATCACATTGGTGTGTTACATGAATTAAATAGTTGAAAAAAATCATGAAGAGAAAGACAAACAGCTGAAAGGCACAGTGTTAAACCAGGGAAGGAAATGATATGTGTATATATAGAATGGTATTAATATTTACAGAGAAGAGGGTTTACCACCCTCTTACCAGGTGAGATGTCCAAAAGCTCTGTCCTGCAGTTCCTTATTGAAGGAGCATGACCCCTCAGGGGGAGTCAGTGTTAAGGAGCAGTTTGAAAATGTGCTTCAGCTTTCAGTTGCTTGAAAGAAGAACGTTCTGTGCTGGTACATGAGAAAGTTTCTCCGAAATACGCTCTTGCCAGGTGAGCTTCATTACTTTAAATGTTGAGTCACTAAGTTGATGAAACATACTGTGACCACATGTCTTAATTTCTTGCTTCTAAGGTTTATCGATGAAGATTCTGAGAAACAGCGTGATGTAACACCTTTAAAGGTGACCTGAAGGTCCATAATTGACCTTGAACGCTGCTGGGCTTCCCTAGAGGTTATCTAGCTCTAGACAACTGTTTTACAGAAAGAGGACTGCTTTGCATTGCTTTGTTTTCTTGAAGAACTACACCTTAAGGACTGCAATCTCTTGTGTGCTTAGTTAGCAGATGTGAACGGAGTGATTGAAGAGGAGTTCACCATGGCACGGCTTTACATCAGTAAGATGAAATCTGAGGTAAAATCTCTTGTGAACCGCAGCAAGCAATTGGAGAGTGCCCAGATAGACTCCAACAGGAAGATGAACGCCAGCGAGAGGGAGCTAGCAGCTTGCCAGCTCCTCATCTCACAAGTATGTTTGTTCCTTCCTTGTCCCCTTGAAGTCAGGTTCAATAACTTTCTCAGCCTCCTTCCCTATGAAATGTGTGTTTAGAGAATGAAAGGTGATAACACAGGGAGCAGAGTGGTGTTTCTCTCTTCTGTGGGGTATTTCCCCCACCCTTTTCCTCTCCCCGAATGTTTTTCAGCGCATTCTGTGGTAAGATCATGTCCTTGTTGTAGATCTCAATGTTTTTTATACTGAAAATACTCCTCAGAATGATTTCCTCAGCATGTATTTGCATCTTGTACCTTCAGTTTAAAAGCAGCCTGAGAAAGGAAGTGGTGATTATTCAGTTCACTAGCAAACATTCTGAGGGCCCCCAGGATCTGGACTATTAGTATGCTAACAGATAGCTAGGCAGCAATGTGTAAAATAATACTTTGTGGAAAACATAACCATATAGGTTAGAAATCCAGATGGTAGGAGGGCTTCACAGTAGGTGGCATGTTACAAGCAGTGATGCATGCTGCAGCATTCTGCAGAGAGGGAGGGGGCCAACTGCTTTGACCTACTTAACTTCTCTGATCAATGCACATGTAAAGTGGAGGGACAATCTGAGTTTACGCTACTTCATTTGCCACTCGCTAGTCTAAGAAAACCTCAAGCAAGGATAGTCTCTTGTCCTGCAGTCAAATTTCTGTATTAAGTTCTACAGTAATAGCTGTAAGCATGCTTTCAGTATTTCTGGGAGGCTAGAGTCCTGAAGATACTGGCTGTCCAAACACGTTAAATAAAACCTACAATTTTTATGCTGTCTTAAAGTATTCTATGAGCTGGCATAACCGCTAAAGGAAGTCATCCTGCAATCCTGTGCTTCTCCCTTTCCTTGGGAACTTGCATCAGTAAAGCAGATTAAGATTTGAGACACAAAGCAGCTGTATGCCTGCTGCTTTTGGCAAAAGATGAGCAAGCGCATAGAGCTGGGAATAAGTGACTTGGCAGTGGGTTGGTGGGACAGCTTCTTTCAGTCACGGTGCTGGCTTATGCTGAGCAAGTGAAAGAGTGAGTGGAAGGCAGCCTGACTGCCTATTTGGGGTTGGTGTTTTTTTCCTCTTACACTTCAGTATGACTACAGTCTAAGCTCCTCAGTTTTTAGAGCTCTTCGCTGCTCAGAGCTTTTCACAAACATCACCTAACTATTGTCCTCAGCACCTATTTGTAGACAAGGAAAGTGGTGGAGGTTTAAGACTTGAACGTCTTATCCAAGGCTGTGGAAAGAGGTAATATAAGAGGTGAGATTGCAAGGCCAAATCTTTCTTAACAATGTTTGCATTGTATGCTAATGTGAAAAAACTAAACAAATGCTCTTAAGCCTGTGATCACCTTGCCTTCGCGTTTTGGAAGTCCTGCAGCTAAGATCACATTGAGACCCATCTGTCTTCAAAACCGGGAAGAACTGGGGTGGTGTTATGCCCAAAAACTTCTTTATGGGCGAAGACAAAACATGCTTTAGGTATAAAGGCAAGAATTTATTGTTAATATAATAGAAATTTTTACAGTCTAATCATTATTAGTCCAGATAAATTCTTATAGAAAGACAAAGAAAACTTCTATGCAGAAAAAATTTCATTAACAAGAAGACATTTAAAATTGCTATACACGTGTTCCCACCTGGGGGGGTGGCTTCTGCCCTTTTTTCTGATGATGTGTTCACCCTTCCCCTGCTCCTTTGGCTCCGTAAGTTGATTGTTTCATTCTGGTGGTGCTGGTGGGGGTGTTAATGGTGAGTTGTTAGCATCTGGAGTTCTTTGCTGCGAAGAATATGATAGTTATGTTAATAACTTTTTCTCTAGAAAAGAGAAGTTTTGAGAATGCTCCTCACTCTAGGATCCACGTGGGGTCATTTTTGTTTGCTAGTACGCTTTTACACCATGCTGTTTCTTCACTGGTCTGCAACTATTATGTTATGACCAACATATGTGGTGCCTTTTATATATGTTAGATACCATTTCTTTTTTCTGTTACCCCTAAAACTAGTTTTGTCCAGGTCTGCGTTTCTTTAACTAGCCATTGCCGAGTTGTTTATAGACATGGGGTCTCCAGTGCCAAGTCTGTGCCCCATCTCTTATCATCCCATGCCTGTATGCCTTTATGTTGCATCCTATATCTCCATTTCTGCAGGCCTTTGTTGTTATGCTAGGCCTGTATTTCTCTATACTACGTTGTTATGTTAGCCATAAAAACGTGGTGGCTAGGGGGAAAAAAAAAAATTAGCCATAGCCACTTAGTCCATTAGGGAAAAAAAAAATCTGTTACAACTAAACCAAGTAAAATGAAGCTGCAGGCAGGTCAGGAAAAATTCAGACAGAGCAAGCCTTACCAGCCTCAGTCCTAAGGCCTTGCAAGCTCAGTATAAAGCTTATGGTCTGTTGCTAGCAATGGCAGTACTGTATAACAGGGCTATGCAGTTTCTGTGTTAAGCTGACCCATTAAAGTAGTGCATGCTGCTGTGTAATGTACCAAGAGGTTCCATTCTGGAGCCCGAACACCTGGAACTAAGCGTGGAATGACCATATTTCTTGTCAGCTTTAGAAATCTACTGGACACTTGCTGCCAGAAGCATGCAGTTTAGGCATGTGCCCTTCCCTTCTTGGAGGACTCAATGCCCGGAATCTTAATTCCTACTAAGGATTACACCTCTCTAAGTTTGATCTTCAGCGTGTAGAAGTAACACTAACTCAAAGGTCTCAACTTCTCTGCTGGCATGAGTTTTAAGAACAATGAACCACAAATCCCTCAGTGGCGTTATTAAGAGGCTGTAATAATTCCTCAACAGAATCATAATTTAACACCTAAATTTGAAAATTTCTAATTTGGTTTCTGATGTTTTTAATATGACATTCCTGTGTTTCTATGTTTAAAAAAAAAAAAAAAACCTTTCTAGTTCAAAAGGATGTTACCAAACAATTCATCAGGACACCTGGTGAAAGTTGATAGTGTATGCAGGGTGAGGCATCCAGGAAGCTGCCTTGGAATTTATTCCAGTCCAGTGTTTAGTTGGTTTTAGAATGCTCCTGATGCTCATCTAACAGGAGATTTCCAATGGTGTTATGGAGTTATGACTTCTGCTGTTCAGTGTGTCTTGGACTATTGTGACCTTTAGAAAAATGTAGGCTGTTTTGATCTGTTACCTTTTTCTCTGATTTTTTTTTTTTGGCTATATTTTTTTCCTGGTCATGAGCTCTTTCTAATTTTTCCTTCTTTCTGTAGAACGGCACCTGAATTTTTAGGTGACAAGGTGTGGTACTTACCTCTCACTACTATTCCCTATGTTTTTAAAGCATGAAGCAAAGATCAAGTCCCTTACAGACTATATGCAAAATATGGAGCAGAAGAGAAGGCAGCTGGAAGAATCACAGGACTCTCTTAATGAAGAACTTGCCAAGTTACGTGCTCAAGGTACAATACTGAGTCTTGTGGTCATCGTTTCTTTTACCAACTGTATCTTAGAAAATTCTGTGTAGAACCAAGTGTCATTTATCCAGTTCACCAGGGACTGCTCTGTTTGACATTTCATCCTGTTCTTCTCCTTTATCATAAACATACCCCAATGTCATAAAAATATGATTGAACAGACCAGATCTTAGTTCATTTATCTACCCCTAAACATTACAGTGCACAGATATAAGACCTCATTCTGCAAGTTCAAGGCACTGAACTATTTCCTTTCTAGTCCTAGAGCATTTTTCTGTTTAGTATTTTGCAGTGAAATCATGAAATTGCAATTCAGAATATTCACCACAGTGCATGTATTTGTAGTATGTTACATTTGAGATTAAAAACAGGGTTAACCCTTTCAGCCTAGTCCATTCAAAGAATCCAGAGAAACTTAATTTTTCAAAAGAATCAAAAACTACGTGATGAGCTTCACTTTTAGGCTGTAATGCTGTCAGAAATGCAAATGTGAAAAAGCCAGCAAAACAGCGTCAAACGATCTTGGTAAATCTCTGTTCTGCAACACTCTTGGATTCTTGTCTAATTACAATTATTACTCTGGATCTTGATCCTTGCAAATGCCACGCTCCATTCAAGAGGAAGCTGCTTGCCTTAGGATCAAGTAGAAAGTATCTTTTTCCTAGATGCTGAATAGCATCCAGGCTGATGCCTAGACTTCATGAATTGCAATTTTTTTTCTTCTGATTTTATGTGGCAAATGTATTTCAAAAGCAATTTTTCTAGTTTTAAGCCCCTGTTTTACAATGTGACCTAGTAGCCTTAATGTTATTCTAGACTTTTGTGCAGGGGACCTCCTCTGGCTCCAGGAGTTGCAGGTGGTGACAGATCTTGTTTAAACATCTCCTGCATGAGTTCTGAGAGGTTTTTTTTTTATTCTATCTTCTGATCTTCCTACGCTATTCACAAGGAATGATCTGGCTTTGGAGGTCACTGTTTCCCAGTAGAAAGCAAAAGCAAACAAGGAGAGTCGCCATAGGTAGGGTTATGAGGAGACGAGCCGATAGGAAGGGTGCTAACTGGTTTGAGAAAAGTGCGAGCTGATAGTAAAGGAAAAAGTTTAGGATGCAGGATGCTGCAAAACCATGGCTGTTCCTGTTCCTCCAAAGCTGCATCTCCCTACCCCCTGAAAAAAAAGGAACCCTTTCTTTTGAATATCTTGATGTAGAATGTTCTAGAGCTCTTTTGGTTAATTCTCAGCTCTCTTAAACTGTAAACAGAAAAAATGCATGAAGTCAGCTTCAAGGATAAGGAAAAAGAACATCTGACCCGGCTTCAGGATGCAGAGGAAATGAAGGTAGTATTGCATGCTGTAATTTATAGTGCGTTTCGTGGTGAGACTGTTCATTAAGCAGACAATTAGGATGTAACTTTGTCTTCCTTTATGCATGTTGTACCCTTTCGGAAGCATTTTCAGACTTTGTCAGAATTGCCAACTTCTGTTAGAAAACCTGACCTCATATAATTGCATGACCTTTCCAATTTGCAATTGGAGAACTTGCTAGTGTTGTGGTTGGTGACCAGATTATGGAAGAAGAAAGGAAACTATAGCCAGACTATCTGAGGTGATTGTGTCTCCTGAGAACAGTCTGTAAACTGAGCCAACCTCAAAGAGCGAAGGGGTTCAGCGGAGCATGCACTTAATCAAAGATGTTTGGGTTCCTCAAATCGCCATGAACAGAGAACCAAAATATAATACCCAGTATATTGCATCCAAATTTGGGAACAGTTTATGTATGATTGAAAAATGATATTATTTCACCTCTGTTACTGTATCCGTATGCCAGTGGAACTCTGCTGAAGTTAATTAGTTAAGTAGTGAATCAGGCCATTCGGGTTAATGCAGTTTAAGTACATAAATTTAATTAAAAAAGAGGCCAGGTAACAACTTGGACTATCTCCTCCTGGAAATAATAACGAAATATAAACCTGCTTTCTGATATTGTTTTCTTATAGAATGTGAGTAAGAAATATTAGGCAATAATATGTGAGTGTGTTTCTGATGGGAATACAACTGCACAAAAGGAAAAATAAATTTTACAAGGGAGTGATAGAGGTATGTCATCCTCAGAAATATTTTCCTCCAATATATAACGTCAAAGTTATTAAAACAGCTGTGCAGTTATTACAGTTGGGGGTAAAAAGTGAAATCTTTTAATAGCAATCTAAAGAGGTATGTGTTTTTCCTACTCCTCGAGTTATTTCTAGTCTTAGAAGTTAAATAACAAGGCTATGGATAAGTAATTCTCTGGGGGATTTTGTTTGTTTTTGTTTTGAGCTTTACTTATGTGTACAGATACACCAGTGACGGATTTTTCTTTTTGGTGAATAAACAGGTGGAATAGAGGAGACTGGTAAGGACAGTGTAACTCTTGACATGCTAAAACCGCTGATTTTTGCATGCTATAGTTTTTGCAAGAAATCAAAATTAGGAATTGGTCTACTTACATGGCTTAAAAGCTGTATGTGAATCAAATGCTTAGCTGAGTAGATGCCTCAGTTTTGTAATCATAAAAAGATGCACCAAGCAGATTCATGAATTAACTTGATTTGATAAACTTCATTCAAATCCAAAAAGTTAGGCTGGTTTAGCTGATATATAAAGAGAAAGCTTAGCTGCGAGTTACTTGATTTCTGTTTCGCGTGTGGCTTCGTTTTTTGTAACCTGCAGAAGGCACTGGAGCAGCAGATGGAAAGTCACAGGGAAGCCCATCAGAAGCAGCTGTCCAGACTGAGAGATGAAATTGAAGAGAAGCAGAAAATAATTGATGAAATCAGAAATTATGTCCACTTCCTGTGCCATTACTGGTCTGTGACACTGTAGGACTGTTCTTTTTGATTTCAGAGTTTTACAGACACTAATATTCTTGCATGCAACAGCCAACCCTCTATTTTGCACTGTGGATTAAAGTGCCTAGTTCTTTATTGTGGAACTTGTACAGTTCTAGATAGATAGTAAAAAAAATATAATACTATATGTACAGGTTGATAGATAATAGAATCTCAGAGGAAAATAGATCTAAAAAACATAAAGGTTTTGAGGGTCCTGGCACAGACTTTCTGAGAGTCTGGGTGACTCAGATGTATCCCGTTTTCTCACCTTAGTGTGTGCTCCTGACATGGAAATGTATTTCTGTTAATCAGATACCCCAAAACGTGTTCATGCTAACTCTGTTACTAGCTCAGTATTCTTGTAATAACTCTCTTGCTAGACTTGCTATGTAGAATACACTTGGAAAACTGAGATCTTTATTACTACACTCTTTAGTTTTTTTTTTCAAGCGTCCATCAAATCTAGGCAATTTCTGTGTAGTATTTATTCTTTTGTCATAGTGTGGTTGATGACATATAAGAGAGAAATGAGAAATGTGAGGAAGCAGAACAGAACAATTGCAAGAACAGTTTCTATCCTTTAAGACAGAAGAAACAAGGGAGGAGAGTATACAGATGACTGTATTCAATTACCTAATATTTAAAAAAAAAAAAAAAGTTATTCGTGTTCAGATTCTTCATGCTTAATTTCTTTCAGAAACGTTCAGTGGGGAGTTATAGCTTTACTTTCTTTGTTTAATCCAGTTTTGTGTATGAAGGTTTACCTATACTTGTTTATGGTGTTCAGGACTGAGTTGTGTTGACTTTCTTCCTTTTGCGTTCTAGTATGAACCAGAAGCTGCAACTGGAACAAGAGAAACTGACTGCTGATTATGATAAATTAAAAATTGAGGACCAGGAAAGAGAGATGAAATTGGAAAAGCTCATGTAAGTCAGCAATTCTCTCATTTGGTGTTCCTTGAATATAACGTCTTTTAATGCGTCAGAGGAGACGGCCCGGTGAGAAGCATTTGTATCAAAATATTCACACTGAAAATATCAGTTTGGTAAAATGCCAACATGCACTGTTAATAAATCCTTACCAATTACTCCATATGGTTACATCACAGGCTTATTTACTAGTGGATTTGGTAGTTGCTGAAAGATATATACATACCTATATATGTATTTAAGAGCTCCAGTTTTAATGAAATATCGTAGCAATTTATCAATCCTCCATTCCTTATCGCATAATACAATCAAACAAGAAAGAAGATATTTCTATTTCTAATGAGCTAGATGTGTGAGGAAAACACCTTTCCTGGAAATAAGAGAGAAAATACTCGTATGCGGAAACAAATGCTTGCCAAAACGGACGTAGTGGCTCAGCTGTTAGTTGTGAAAAAGCTGCATGTCAGTTGATAGTCAAAAGAATAATTAGAGGTGCAAAGAGAGAAGTACAGTTTGCTCAAATCAGCAGATGTTGTGCTGAAACGTTGATTGGTATTTTTCTGTCTCATATGACTTTCATACTTTTGATTAATAATACTTTTTTAATATTGTGATCTTTCTAGATTGCTGAATGATAAAAGGGAACAAGCAAGAGAAGATCTGAAGGGGCTAAAGGAAACTGTGGTATGTCTTAATGACAAGTTATTGATCCTCCCCCCCCCCCCAAAGTCTTCATCACTGATGAATTGTCAAAACACTTGTGTCTGTGCTCAAGAAAATGACCAGTTTATATTAGAATAGCCTAAATTTGTGCGTTTCACCAAGTTATGAAATTGAACCTCATAATTTAAGATGAAATATTAAAATCTCACCTAAATATTGTTGCGTCATGTGAATAAGCTATCACTATTAAATCTACTGGCACTATTTGCTTTGCTGTCCCTGTTCTTTTAATTCACCTGGAGTAACCAGTGAACTGAATATGGTGTAGCTACATGATATATACCCGTCTCTAACGTGACCAGTGTAATGGCTTATAAAGAAATATAATATTCTGCTGGCAGTTTTAAAAAGACACTCCTTTTGATGGATGCCTTCAGCCTTAATTGTTGCTGCACAGTCTTGCTGGAAGCTACATTTGTCTTTGTAAATCATACAGGCTTTCTCAAAGGTCTCAAAAGTTGATCAAGAATGTAGCTGTTTATTAATAAACTTTTTGGTTTTGTTTTTTGCTAGTATAATGTGCTAAAGTCATGTGTTGATGCTTCAACCTGTGAAAAAGCTATGCAAGTTGATTTTTCTCCTACCCTCTATGAATTTCCTATATGATAGTCTAATTTTGGACTGAAGTTTTCCTGTCTGTGTTAGTTTAGAGTCCACACTGAAAACTGAATGGTGAGTTATGTTTAGTATCTGCATTGACTTCACTAGTATGAGAGGAAAAATTATCTTTATTAAACCTTAATTTTTATTACCTGTTACTGTAAGACGTACTGATTAAGTATGCAGAACAGTACACTCAAAAACAGCCTTTTCTCCTCTATATGATACTTCAAAAAACTAAGCTTGTAGTGGCCTCAGGGTCAGTAGGAGTTCAGCACTTGCAAAAATCTGTTTGTTGTTTTTTCTTTTTTATTCTGAAGCTGAACAGTTCTGCTCCCCCCAGCTTTAGGTGTTGATGGCTTCCCCAGAAGTAAGCCCTGTTTAAATAAATCTCTCCCTCGTAGGAATTTAAGTAGCTTTCTGAAGTGAGCAGTATTCTTCACCTGCTCACGTAGCTTATGTGTTCTAAAGGCTTTTTTTTGCCCTGTATGCTGAATGAGTAAGGCAGCTAGAAATCAGTTAGGCAGTGTGATATAGTCAGTTTGCAGTCCCTTTTTTTTTTTTTCTCCTTTTAAATAAATATCTTTGAACTACCTTATATTCAAAAATTTATTCACTTTTGTTAGTGTTTTGATAATTACTGAAGCAAAAAGAAAAATGAAGCATAACAAATCACAGGAAAATATGTGCAAAATGGTGGCTCACCCAACACCTTTGTATAGGGAGGCATCAGCCTCTATAGGCGTTCTGTCATTTGGATTGTCTTTGTGATGAGGATGGGATGGAGAATAGTGTCTGTAGGGCCACAGGTGCTGATCTGGCTTTGACGTGTCCTCTTCCCCCTGCTGGGCTGGTGAGCAAAGGGGCTGTCTTGGATTCTTCTCCTGAAGCAAAACCAAGGGGGCCTGTGGGAGGGAGTTGAGGTTCGGAGACCTGCTCGGACAGCGCACCTGAACCGGAGCTCTCTGGGAGGCTTCTGTTTCCCAGCTGTGCTTGTATGAGAATGGCCCCCGTCTTCTGAATACAGAATTGTTTGTAGATAAATAAGCTTAAATAAGCTGTGCTCATAATGCGTGGTTTCTCGTCATTTTTTAGTCCATTAAGAAAGCTTCTCTGCTGTTCCTATTACAGTGCTGTCTCTTTTTTGATCAGTTTTGCTTTTGAGAGATAAAGATTTAAAAAAAAAAAAAAAAAAGGAGTTCAAGAGCTTGTAGTCCTCGTGGTAGTTATTAAGTGATTAATTTATTAATTCCTGTATGTGAGAGTAGATAAGAATAAGCTGGAAAAGCTGAGATTGCTTTTACGAACTGGAGGAGGTTGATTCTGTTCAGTATGGTGTCTATGAAATATGAGATTAAACTGTTTAACCAAATGGTTTCCTTTTCTGCAAATGATTCGGCGTTTTCCTGTCCTTCTCAGTATAGGTGGAGGATTTCTACTTCTGCTGTCATACCTCCAATGTGGAATAGGGTGGTTATTTTGCTGAGCCAGAGAGGTAGATAAAACTAAAGCTATGAAAGCCTAGCTTTTTCCCAAAACCTAGAAAGCCCTTCAACATCCTAAGGAGCTACTGAATAAGCCTGCACAGGCCTGGTCAATAAAATTGTTATTCAGTGAATCCCAAGCTTTTTCACTTGGCTGGATATGTATAGCCACAGCTGATTTGCAAGACTTCAGCTTTCTGCTGTTGTTTCTCCTCACCTGAAAACACAGTCGACGCATTTCTGGAACTAGGTTTGGCGTGGGTTAAAATAGCTTATGAAAATGCCCTGGAAAGTATGGGAGTTGGTCTGTGAGGAAGAGTGTGTGCTAGTGCATAGGTCAGGTACCTGGTTTCCCAGCTCATGTTTGTTTGAGCCATAACACAGCGTGGTGGTCTTCTGCGCTGTTGTGGAAGCTTCTGCTGACCTGGACGTGTAACAAATATGGGAAGTGTCGTATGGACAACACTGTTTTGCAGTGATGGGTTCTGCTGGTTTTGGGAAGGTGAACAATATGTCTGTTATGTCTGAGCTTGTAATTTAGGTCAGCAGTTTTAGCAGCTTTTCTGTAAACTGGTTAACTGTAGGTTGCCTGAACAGCCGATGGATATGCATAAGGCAGACATTTTTTTGTACATGCAGGTACACTTCTATAAGTAAATCACATTGAAGTCATAATATCTACTCAAGTCTAAAGAGCATTTTTACCCCAGAGCGTCTACTGTGCCTTATTGTTTTGTGGTGTTTTTCTCTACTCTTGATTCCAGGCAAGAGAACTTCAGACCCTCCACAACCTACGCAAACTGTTTGTTCAAGACCTCACCACTCGAGTTAAAAAAGTAAGTTTGAATTTTACTTTAATTTCCTTTTAACAGAATATACTGTTTTGAACCAGAGTTTTATGCTCGTTTGCTCTATTCTCATGAGTCACCGGAAGCCTTTAGGGCATGTTGTTACAAAATGGGATACTGTCTTTTTCAATAATAGTGAGTAATAAGATTAAGATAGTTCTGATGTTTATCCCAGCTTTAGCTCTTGTTTGGTCCTAATTTGTTAAGGAAAAGTCTTAGTAATTAAGTGAAATGGCCTGATCCAATTCAGTTCAGTTACTGAATTCTGGGAGATGGTATGATGGATACCAGAATGCACCAGAAACTTGCACTGAAATATACTTCCCTGAATGTTTTGACTACTCGGCATTTTCCTGGGCACAATTATTGTTTGGCCTATCTCTGAGACAATCTCTGAGCAGTGTCTGCTCTTTCTCAGCAGATCTTCATGTATTTTTAACTGTTGAGGAAGTTCTTTAACTGTTTGAGGAATCCAAAGTTACATAAACGCTGAAAGGCTTCACAGCACCTTTTAGTTCTTTAGCATAGCTTTGGTGAAGAGTTTTTGTACTTCCTATGTAAAAGGTTGAAACAGGACTGAGGTAGCGCGTGCTGCAGGAACATGGAGCGTGGGGCTGGGGCCTGACGGGTTTCAAACAGGAGACTCTGGCAGGTAGGAGCCAAGGGAGCAGAGCTGCAATCTGGAGATATGGGTGGCAGACAAGTGTACTCCAGTTGGAAAAGAGGGAAACGCTTTTCCCCTTCAAAATCTATGATTTTCCTATTCGGGATCTCCACGTAATTATTCCATAAGAGAGTTTATTTCTATGTAGAGGGGAATGTGACTCTCTAAATATGAAATCAACAGGTAAAATAAATTCTCTTTAATTTGGAGTTCTGGAAAAGTTTTCTGCCTTTGGGAAGCTTAAAATTACAAAATGTCTGAGCTTCTGGTTGTGTTTCTGCATGGCTTTGTGTAATTCTGGAACTTTGTGCAGAGTGTTGAACTGGACAGTGACGATGGAGGTGGAAGTGCTGCGCAGAAGCAGAAAATCTCCTTTCTTGAGAACAACCTGGAACAGCTTACAAAAGTTCACAAACAGGTAGGGGCTCCATTTTCTTCCTTCTAGTGCCTACATAGTGTTAAATCAAAAGCCATTGTGCCTTTTTGTTGATGATAATGGTTGCTTCTGAAAACCCAGCCACAGGAACATCTTTCACTGTATCACTGTCCTGTACTATGACAAATTACCTTTTATTTTAATTCATATTTTTTGTATGTTCAGGAAGATAATTCTTCAAGGTACCCTGTAGTTATTGTCTAAAGAAATTGTCTACAGTTCTCAACTAAAATTCCTAGGATAAGAGTTAGTGTCAGAGGTGGTCTTTCCACTGCCCCTGCTTCACATCTATGTGTTTAAAAATATATTTTTTTTCCCTCAAGGAAAATTGGCTCTAATAGTTTTGACAACTGTCAATGTATTGGTGTAATGCATACAATATAACACAAACACTTTGTTCTGTGTACTGATTGACTCCTGGTTTCTACATGCATCGTAATATCCCCGGCTTTGACTCCTGGTGTCTAAAGCAGCTTAGAGGCATTCTAGGAGCTGACATCGGTAAAGCAATCAGCAGAATATGAAAGCAAAGAAATAAATGTTCTCTGTGCAGCATAAGGGCTGGTACCAGCAAGGAACACTGAGGTTGGCCTGTTCCAGGCGTGTTCATCTCCATCTCCTCCCCTGTTTCTTATAGTTTCTGTTTCCTTTGAAGTTTTGCTGTTTGGAGCAACCAAGGGCTGTAGAGAGCCTTTCACCTTATATGCCCACCCAACAAGTGGGAGGTGGAGGGAGTGTGTGATAAGTAAGCGTTTTGGGTGTAGGTTAAGGAAAGCTCCTTACCCTCTGCTTACTGAAAATGCATATGTATGAATGGTGTGTGCATATATCTGGGCAACACCTCATTAGAAAAAAACTGGATTACTTCTTCCAGTAAGTAAATCCCTATCCGCCTCATCTTTGAACTATGTCTCACATTCTCAGATGCAGTGTACAAAGTAGTAAAAGATGCTTCTGATTTCATTTTTGGATGGTAACATGAAGTTCTCTATTAGTTTTCTGAAATTGCTGTTAGTGAGATAACAGTGGTTTCCAAGATTTGCTTTATTTATTCCCGTAGCAGTGCCAAAAAAGCAAGCACTGCCAGACTGTGGCAAGTGTCCATTAAGGTTCAGTATTTTAATATTCCTGGTTAACAGATAGTTTGAAGACCTTGTTTCTAAATGTGGAAATCAAGACTTGTTAATAATATTTTTTCCTTTCTCCATTTTACATATTTTGCACTTAGTTCATGCCTTTTTTAACCTGTTGGTTTTTTCCCCAGATATGGACTTCATAACTCTCATAAGCATATGTTTACTCAAAACCATTCATCTCTCATGAGAAAGTTAGATGATAAAAGAGATATCAGACTTGATCTGAATATGATATTCTACCAAATAGTTATGATTTAAAATAAGAGCAGGATGATAAATGTTCAACACTTTCAGAACCAGCATACTGTGACATTTTTCTTTTAGCTTTGTTCTTGCTTTTCTTCTGGCACTCAGCCTGGACTAGCAGATATAAGACATTTTGATTGTCAAACAATGTGTGAATGTTGTTATGTGCTGCTGTTTTACTGTATTTTAATAAGGTAGCTAAACCACTTTCTTCCTTTCACTTCAGAAAAGGGAGAATCACTCCCTCAGAAAAGTCATCTTCTACCTTCTAGTAGCAATATCATCTGTTCAGTACAGATTGTACTAGATTTTTCTAAATGCAATTCTCTTTGAGGTTTAGTTATCAAAAAAAGTCAGTCTTCCTTTTTGGCTATTGCTGAAGATAAAGTTAGATGTTATTCTGACAATTGGTAGATTTTGTTTAGGTTGAGATTTAATCTAGGAGGTTCTTAAATTCAGAGTTGCATATGATCACCACATTTGTAGCTACAGGCCTTAAAACTATTTCCATAGAAATGAAATACTACTTAGTGATGGTTGAGATGCACAATGTTTCTGGTTTTCCCCCTATGCTTGAATAGGAAACTAGTAGGCAAGTGTGCCATAACCATTGGGAATGATGAATTTTTGATGGCGTTTAGTATTATCTATAAGCGTTATGTTTAAACAAGGCAGTTTTTAAATAATGGGAAGATCAGGTATTTGCAAAGTGCTGGACACTTCTGCATTCTGAAAAAATGCAGAGTTTCTGTGTGGCTTTTGGACTCTGGAGAAGTTGATATTGTAGTAGTGTTCTTCAGCAGCAGGGTTTGTCCTGGAGCCCTTGCCCTTCAGAATAAGTTCTGTGAAATTTTGGTTAATGGAATAAACTTTCTGTCATTCTTTGATCTTCCTGTAGGATTTAATTTGAATATTGTACCTCAGCTGGAGAAATAAACAGCATAGTTAAAACTAAATTACTCTGACAGGCTTTTTGCGGTCACTTCTACAAAAATAAAATGTTTATTTCATTTTCAGTAAATGCCTACAAGGTGTGAAAAGGAATAGTGACATTTTCTGTCTCCCCACGGTAAAGGGCGTTCTCATAGTTTCTCACAGGCTGTTTTTGAAATTTGTTTCCTGCAGTTGGTACGTGATAATGCAGATCTTCGTTGTGAGCTTCCTAAGCTGGAAAAACGACTTAGAGCTACGGCAGAGAGAGTTAAGGCCCTGGAGAGTGCACTGAAGGAGGCCAAGGAGAACGCCATGCGAGATCGCAAACGGTACCAGCAGGAGGTAGATCGCATTAAGGAGGCTGTAAGAGCCAAAAACATGGCCCGGAGAGCACACTCCGCTCAAATTGGTAAGGACGTAGAGAAGAGTTAGTGGTTGCCCACATACTTCACGGTTGGCTTGTTTGCTCTTTTTTTTTTTTTTTTTTTTAAATGAAGCCAGCTTTGAAAGCAGCTGTTCAGGGCAAACCACTGGATGTCCCTCTCCTCTGGTGTACAAGAATCTTCCAAGACTTAGTTTTTTAATAGAATATGCCCCACCTAAAATTTGAAGCCCCTCTGCTATTTAACGTGGTGAATAAGTGGCATAATGGGTCTTGTGTGCCCTTCTAATGACCTGAAAACTTGTCTCTTTAATTTAATCTCTCACCTTTTTTCCTTCCTCCCCTGCCACACACTCTTGTTTGGCTCTTCTTTCTTTTCTTGCCTTTCTGGCCCTTGTATCTTCCTCTCTTCCTGCTTACTCTTCCCCATGCTTTAATTTGGGCTGTGTAATTGTATTTTCCTGTATAACTCAGATGCTTGATATATCTGACTCTGTGGTGCAAGCTGAATGTGGGCATACAATCAGTAATTAAGGTAGTTTTTCAGGTAGCAATTTTTAAAGTGACTGGATGGACCTGAGGCAGAAGAACAATGTTTTGGATGGTGATACTTTTGTACTGGTACCTTAAAACCTGAGAGGGAGCTAAGCAGTGCACAATGTCTCCTGCCTTATGCTGCCTCTTCTGGAAAGCCATCAATGCCTTTCTCAGCTTTTTCTGGGAAAATGATATAAATAGTCATGGAAGGAAATAGGACATAAAAAGTACATGACTGATCCCCAAATGAGTCATTACATCCCTATGTTGTACAGACAGTCCATAATCTTTGTAGAGGAAGAATGCCTGAGATGGTGCATGAGAGCCACGAGCGGCAAACGGATTGTTTGCCGGCCAGGGCGAGGGAGTGTAATGTTCTGTGCGCAGTTCGTTTTCTGGAAACATTGGGCTTTGTACTGGAGGAGAAGGTGAGGTACAAATTTTGTTTGAAAACTAAATGTCTTGTTTTGTTTCCCATTTTTATTCTGCAGCCAAGCCCATCCGCCCTGGTCATTACCCAGCGTCTTCTCCAACGGCTGTTCATGCCATCCGAGGGGGAGGGATGTCAAACTCCAGCTACTATCACACCACCAAATAAACAAGAAGTAAGACCAAAGTAACTTATTTATCTGTTTTCCAGTGATCACCCAGTTTTCTTATATTTCAGACTTACTTTTAGAAGATCACCGTATTTTTTTCCCCCTAGTTTTAGTGGGATACTTTCTTACTGACAGCTTAACTGTGAAAACTAGTAGTTTGAGTGCCTCATTAGAAAGAATATTTTGCAAGCTACTGATGAAATTTTTCATTTTAATGACTCTAATCACTTTGGACTTGTTTATTAAACTGAAATGCTATTGCAAATATGTACTGAAATTTGCACATAAAGGTGTGAAACTCATGTGGTAAAGTGAGAGCTCCTAGAGGCTGCCTCTGAAACTGTTCTTTTCTACTTCATATAACCTGAATATGTTTCCTTGTTGTTTGTGATAGTCCTCAGAGGATAGAGAATTCTAGTAAATAATCCAGTGCAAGGAGATAGCTCTATCTAGTTCAAGAGTCACCAGCCACTTCTGTGCCAATGCAGGAGCTGCCTATGGCAGACTGTACCTGCAAAGTTGTGAGGATTTCTCCTGGGCGCAGTTCAAAATGAAAAGCATTAAAAGTTCAAATCCTCATGCTTTCAGGGTAAGATACTACTTGAGAGATGGAACCGTACAGTAAACGTGTTTCTTCACAAGCATGTGCACACCTTGGAGGACTTACTGTAAGTCACTTTTGGTACAAAGAGGCAACGGTCACACTGAAGAAGAAAACAACAGGACAATTTTGTTTCCAATTGCTGCATTGTACACTTCTGTGAAGGCCTCTTCTGTACCCCTCTGCAGAGCTTTTTGATCCTGAGGTAAAATGGAAGGAAGTGAAGTAGGACAATCTGCTTCTTGATGAAGCCAAAGCTAACCTATGGCAAGATGAAGATGGAATTAGTGCCAGGCAACTGGCAAACAGAGCATCTTGGGGAGAGCTCTTTCATTTAATCTGCACCTGTTCTTCAGTAACCTTTCATTTTCTTTGGTTTCTGGCACAAGTAATGTAGCCAGAAGCTTGAACACTTGTAACTGCAGTAACCAGAAGGGAAAGCATCATGGCTGTGAACCACTGTCTTAAGCACAATCTGCAGTTTACCTCTGGGAACACAAAAACAATCCTAAGCGTGGGCCTTATGTTGAGACTAGCTCTGTGAGGGAGGTAATGGATGGCTGATTTTAGTGTTGAGTAGGAAATAGATTTTCTTGTTTGTTTAACAATATGAGTGAAATATTTCAAGGGTTTCCACTGCTACTCAGAATGTCTGAAGCTGTTTTCTTGGCCAAAACTCACCCTTTCTAAATTAATAGTTTTGTTTCACTGAAAAACGGTTTAAAAGGAAAATTTCTGAAAACTATGCATTTTCACTTCCATTAGTACTCTGAAGTTTTTCTGTACTGTCACTCATGGCACAAATTGGAAAGAAAAAGAAAAGACAGTTTTTCCAGGTGAGCTGGTTTTCTATATAGCCATAGGGTATGTAAAAACTCAGGATATTTGGTAGACTCGATTGCATTTTCCTTTTGCTTCCCTGCAGTTGTGCTGCAGAGTAGTTTTTCATGCATTTTTTTTTTCCTATGGTATGATTCTACCTCTGACTTGTATGTGGCTCTACCTAAATTCCCCCAATTTTAAGCATTTTGAAGTCTTCACAATTTGCAGACTTGCTTGTTAGCTAGGACATGTTTCAGTTTAGAAAATTCAATGCATAAAACTAACATCATGCGTGAAAATGAACGTAAAATAATGGTGTAATCTTGCTTTCTGAATCCTTACTGAACCAGTGATTTATTTTACTTTATTTCTTTATTTATTTTACTGGTTGAGGCCTGAGGTCCATAAGGCATTTTACCTTTTTCCCCTGGAGTGTGGGACAGGCACAGCCTGGAGGGCTCAGCATGGAGAGCTGCAGGGCAAGCCGGTGGGGGGGTTGCTACGCCCTTCCCTGCCCCCCGAGCGCCCGCCTGCCTGTGAAGCGCAGGCCCGTGGCAGCCGTGTCAGCCAGGACACGCAGCAGCACCGAGCGCTCCAGACTTGAGTGTCAGAACGTGGCAAACTTTACTTTTGTTTCTTTTGCTTTGTACAGCTTTTGCTTTGTTCAACTCCTTTGCTGAAAGTGTAAATGTTTTACAGTAATTGCAAGGGGCTTGAGGGTTTGCGTCTCCCCAAAGCCCAGATCTCATCCTGAAAAGATGAGCAGCATATTCCCATGAGACTGCTTTACCCCTCCTTCCATATATTTCTTTAAATGCTCATTATTTCTGAGCTATTTTACCTCTGTTGTTATTTTAGATGATACCTTGGTTTATTTGCCTTGTTACAACATACTAAGAGTTGGATGCTAGTTAGCAAGAGGCCGTGAAACGCGGCCAGTGGAGTGCTAATTTCTCCCTCCAAGTCTGGCCTTTTTCTCTTCCCAAGGATTAATTTCATTTTATGACTCTCTTCTGATAGTATGTGATTTCCTCTAGGCATTCTGCATTCTTAGGTGTTTTTTCTTGTTCTTTTCTGAGAATGTTTCATGTCATGCATGTACGCAAACCATCTATCACATTGCATTCAAACTTTCATTGTGTTGTGTGGATTGGTTCTGTTGATTGTGTTTTCAGTGAGCCCTGTAGCTACAAGCAACATATTTTTCCTGTGGATGAGTGAGAGTAAGCCTTTGCTGAGTGATCTTGTGCATTAGTTCATCCTTAACCGAAACTTGCTTTTTGGTCTCATAGGCAAGATAACCTGTGTCGATCTACTTCTTTGCCTTCTCATCCCTATGAAAGAGCAAAGGGAAAAGAGTACGATAAAGGCATGTAAACTATTTCAAACTGTGTAACTGCTCTTTGGAAGAAAGCTATGTGTGCCTTTACGACACCATCTACTATGAAAATAAAACTGTCAGAATCAAACAGGCCACACATTAGGTATAGGCATGTGTCAAGCAAACAACTGTAGATTTTAATAAAAGTTATTAACAAAATAAAAACTAAAACCAGATGACCATAAAACAAGATAGGACTTTTGACTGCCCTTTATTAGCATCTTAAGACATACATGTGTCAAATGGTTTCAGATGCAGAGCTTTATATTTGAGGACAGTGGAGGATAAGCAGATTCAGATACCTCTTGGAGCATGTTGCTGACCAGTTCAGAGATGAAGGGAGTGAGGGGAAAAAGGAGGAAGATCCTAGAAGAAACTGGCTAAGCTTAGGGATTGATGGTTTCTGAGAAAATCAGAGGAAAAATTATGAAAACCAAATGAAAGCACGACAGGTGGAATGAAGCCATTAAAAAAAGTGTGTGTATGGGGAGGGCAGGGAATGACTGGAAATAGTGGCTTGTAAGAGCAAAATCTCCATATCTCCTAGGGAAGTTGCCAAGTGTCAGCTGCCATTATAAAGCAACAAGTCATACTGAAATGTCCCCAAGTCTATTAATCAAAATTTTCCTACTTGAATTCTTGGGTGATAAGGCAAGTGTGTTTTGCTGTTCAGCAAAAGTTGTAGCTTGTGTTGGCTTTAATTTTCTTAGTTAATCCTAATGTTCCTCTCTTGCTTTTATCAGTCTAATTTCTCTCTTGCTGGACAATCAGTCTAACACCCAGCTGTCAGTTGAGTTTTTGAAAGATAAAACAGCTTGATTCTCACGTCTAACTTTTGGAAATGTGTTTTGGCTCCAATGTTCATTAATAAGACAGCCTGTTTAATTTCTCACTGGAGACCTTCAGAGAAGTACTGTCGCTGGCAATAGCGACAAGGGGTGTAAGGTGTATTTCTCTGATAGTGAAGTCATTAAGGCTAATCCTAAATGTCGTGCCCTTATTGCTACTTCAGAGAACCACATCTTAGGCTTTATAATTTTGTTTTTAACCTCAGTTAACTTAATTTTTGCACAAATCTAGAAAGATGCATTGAAGAATATAGTAAATTAAGAATGGGCAGTGATTAAAGAAAGTCAGTTCTCAAACAGTTTTGGTCCTTCAGTTAAGGAAATTGTTTGCAAATTGCAAATATTTGGCTGCCAAATGATTTTTAGGCATATCGTAGTGATCTGAATTTTGAGCTTTTTGGATACAAGCCCAGGGGCCTTTAGTAAGAGTGTTAGTAAACATACTACTTTTGCAGGGCAACTTTTATAGAGATTATTTTCGTAACATAGTTGAGTGGTCTTACGCGTTCTTTTGAACAAGAAACAGAGCAAAAAAATAGAACAGAACTTTCCTTTATGTTTAACATTTAACAGCAGTGGGGAGGGGGGAAGGGATTTCTAGATCACTGTTTGCTGTCAGGTAACATACCCTATCTCTGGAATGAAAAAAATACACTATGATCAGGAGAAATTTACCTTAGGTTCATTCATTGTTTCACAGTAAACATGATGGCCATTTATTGCCATTAAACTGATCAGTGATTATTACTTATTAACCACAGCAGACTATTCCATTGATAACAGCCAGTACTGCTTTTGCTGTTTTTACTAAGGTCACTGGTAAAATTTCTTCTGCAAACCTGTGCAAGCCTACAAAACTAACCTGGACAAAGTTCAGAGTTTGCCCAGTTGCGGCCATATGGCCTAGGTGCAGCGTGCGTGCAGTAAGATGATGATTTCTACCCTAAAGAACTTAGCATTTGATGAATAACAGCAGTAGACAGGAAAGAAAGAAATGTGGGCATCAATAAAATGGAGTCATAAAATTGTAAATTGCTGGTAGCTGGCTTAAACAGAAGTCTCGAAAGACTCAGGCCAAGAAGTGCCTGTAAAATCCCCAAGAGGTAGTTATTCACTGCCTCCACATTGCAGAAATTTTCACAAATACAGCTGCAATGAAATTGTTATCTGGGGGATATACCAAAACTAGATACTCTGAAATTATGAAAAAGGAAGTTTACGCTGGCGCAGCTAATGAGCTAACTGCTGCAGTACAAGTGCTGTTTGACATTGGTTGTGGTATATTTCTATGAGAAGATGGCACTAGTATTGCTATGACCCTGTAGCTGAAATTATGCCAGGGTTTCAT